TTCGGAAAGAAATTATACGAAAAATTAACTAACGACCAGAGACGTAACAAATTGGTGTCAGAGAGTGGGACACAAAAAAAAAATGGAAACGAGTAGCGGCAAATCAAACTACAGCTTAGCAGACTTGATGGCAGCAAAAGAAACAAGAAGAACGAGAAAAGAAACAAGAAGAATTTGTACTTCTTGCCATTGTTATTGATTTTCCTGTAGTTGCTGCTGACTTTCCTGCAACTGTTGGATACTTCCTTCCTGTTTCCTTTCTTGTTCTAGTTGCCACTGTTGTAGTCTCTCTTCTTGTTTCTTTTCTCGTTCTTCCTGTTTCTTTTCTTTTTCCTCCAACAACTGATGTAATGCCTTGTGTGCCATGCTTTCCAAGTCTTGTGCCAGCTCTTGCAGGCTCTTCCCTTTAACACGGATTCTCGTCCTAAACCTAGCCCTGTAGACTTCTGACTGATTCTGGGTTCCGTACCTGAGTTCCAGAGCCTCTACCAGTGCTCTATAGTTGTGTCTGTCGGCTGCTGTCAACTGTCGACTGGTTGTCCCTTCAAGCTCGTTGCCAGATATACAGCTTTCTGCTCCTCTGTCTATCCATTCATCTCTGACAGTAGCTCAAATTGTGCTCTATATGCTTCCTACGGTGCCTTCCCATCGAATTCCTGTGGCTTCCTTCGCACTGGATCACTCCTGTTACTGACATTCATATCTGGGATGTGACTTCTAATGGGACTGAATATGTCTGCATTAGGGTTTAGCTGCGGGCTCTGTAAGGGGCTTGCCATTGTCTGGGGCTGATCAAGTCGATGGTCAATGTATCCTACTTGTGTAACAGACAATAAATCGCTTTTAAATTTACTAATGTTTTCCCCTACCCAACTGCACCACCCGATCTCCTCAAGTTGTTGCTGAGGGATCAGTTCGTAGATGCCTTGGACAGTCCACAACTTAAAATACAAGTGAAGCAGGCACACCCCTCTACCATGCAGGATGCAAGTGGCCAGAGCTCTTGAATTCGAATCCTACGTTAAGTCCACCACAGAGGTACCAAGGTTGGTACATTCATCAGTATTCAAGGCCAGAAAAGGTCAGCTTTCAGAGAAGTTTGAGGGACTTTGCTGGCACTATAATAAACCTGGGCACAAGAGAGCTCAATGCTGGCAACTTCAACACAGGGAGACGATACAGCAGTAAAGGCTGCTACCAGAAAGGTTGTTGAAACTGTGGAGAGCAAGGACATATGAGGAGCCAGTGTAAGAAAATTACCACCAATAAATCAGCTTCGGGAAACCAGTAGTGGTTGGTGCTAAGGGACGCCCACCAACCCCCATTGTGAAAGTCCCAACAGCTAAGTGTAAAATGGCAACCACACATAGTATCTACGTGACGGGGAAGCTGGATGGCCAAAGGTGCAACTTTGTCATAGATTCTGCATCTCAGCAGACCCTTGTGAGCATCAAGGTGCTGGATAACAAAGGAGTACCAGAAGCTGTACAGAAGCTCTGTGGTGTGACAGGACATTCTACAAGATTGTGGGGACCAGTGTGGGTAACTATTGAGCTCATGGGCACAAAGGAGAGACAGAAAGTATACTTAGCTGACATGGAAGATGAATGCATATTAGGATTGGACTATCTACTACCGAGAAAGTTTGTAATTGATTTTGATAAAATGATGTATGGGAACAACAAAGGCCAAGTTCCGGTAACTGTTAAAAGAGAGGTTGAGCTGATTGGGTGCCATCGGGCTGAAGTCAAGCCGACTGAAAAAGTTGGTGATGATGAAGTGGAACTAAATACAGATATCAAAGCAGAACAGGAGAAAGACCAAGATTTGAAGCCTATAATTGATTTCCTAAAAATAAGTGCTTTGCGCCCTGCTTGGGAGAAGGTGTCTAGTCTAAGCCCTGTGATAAAGCACTATTGGGCACAAGAATACCATTTTCAAGCTTCAACTGCTCCCATTGCCCGGAGATGGGAGACTACAGATGGGAAAGTGACGACTTGACAAACAGTTATACCGAGGAAGTTACGGGAAGTTGTGCTGCGTCAATCCCATGATAATTTAACAGGAGGACATCTCGGAATTAGGAAGACATTGTGTCATCTACGACAAAGATTTTATTGGATAGGTATGAAGCGAGATGTGGAAAAATGGTGCCGAACATGCAGTACATGTAGTGCTAAAAGGGGACTCAAGCATACGGGACACTCACCTTATGAAGAGTTGCCTGAGAATGTGTCAGAGTTTGTGGAAGTGTTATCGGAAAGGATGGATGATATCCACCATCAAGTGCGTTCAAACTTGAAAACGTCTGCTGATTCGATGAAGTTAACTTATGATAAGTGATCTACTGAAGTCAGCTTTGTACCAGGAGACAAGGCATGGAAGTCTCCTAAGTTGTCTTCTCCATGGGAAGGCCCATATGACGTAGTGGATCGTCTCTCAGACGTGACTTTCCGGGTAAAATGTGGTCGGCGAGGTA